GAAGTTGTGAAAGTAACAAGTTTGACCTGAAATTGGTTCAGAGGCTGTATCTCGGCCAAACTTTGATCAATCGAAACCAATCTTGGTACGCTTCATCAACACCATGATCTGAGGGTCCATGCCAAAGTTGGGAATAGCGCCACCTATGGGTCGTGAGATACCAAACATTCAAATTTTTGCTTATAACTTTTGAACAATTAGTCAGAAAATTATGATTTTGGTATCTACGGATTCATTGGGCCATGCCAAATCCAAGGATCTTTGGCAGGATTGACTGAACAACCTGTCCGCCATTTTGAAATTTGTCATAAATTGCTATATCTTTTGAACCATTGGACATATCTGCACAAAAATCGATAGGGATCATCAACACCATGTCCTGGATGTACCTGAGAAGACTGAAGACAGCGCTTTTAGTAGTTGATTATAATATTAAAAGTAAAGTCCATGCCAAATCCAAGGATCTTTGGCAGGATTGACTGAACAACCTGTCCGCCATTTTGAAATTTGTCATAAATTGCTTTATCTTTTGAACCATTGGACATATCTGCACAAAAATCGATAGGGATCATCAACACCATGTCCTGGATGTACCTGAGAAGACTGAAGACAGCGCCACCTACTGTTCCAGAGATATAAGGATTCTTGTTAAATGTTGTCCAAATTTTCTTATTTTTATTTCATTTGTTTCCCTTGGTTATGCCGAATCTGACAATGTCTCATTTGTCATTTTCCAAAAGGGTGTCTGTCAGCCATATGGAAGTAAATGAATAATAGTTTTTTTGCTACTCTTCTCACAAATTTTGTTCAATTCTTCCCAAAATTTGCTCATTTGATCTTTGGACTGAGCTGCACAGAAATGACTGAACAGAATTGTTTAACTACTAGTGAAAAAAAAGTTATGATGTTGTGAAGTTAACAAGGTCGACCCAAATTGGTTGAGAGGCTGTATCTCGGCCAAACTTTCATCAATCGAAACCAAACTTGGTATGCTTCATCAACAACAAGATCTGAGGGCCCATGCCAAAGTTGGGAACAGCGTCACCTATGGGTGTTGAGATACCAAAAATGCACATTTTAGCTTGTAACCTTTGAAAGGATGTCAATAGTGCTTTTGTGTAAAATGCTAAGCCACGCTTTTGTGAGATCCTTCTCACACCTTAACCTCTGTTCTGCGGCCTGTTGAGTGTGTGTCAACTGAGTGGCGCACTCTGCTAAGCCTCTGGCTCTGAACACCTAAGGTTGTCGGTTCGAATCCATGGTGGCTAATGTTGCTTCTGTTCCAGACATTCAATTTTCCGTGTGCTCGTATTTAATCAGAAGCGTGTTTTTTCTCATTCTCATCTGAACTTCTGTTCAATTTGGAACTTCTGTACTTCTGACTATCTGTTCTTCTTTATGTATGTTCCATTTCTGCCGTTTTTGCTCTTCCCGCTCTGCGCTGCGCTACAGTCCTTTTCGGGCTTGGCCCCGGAATCGCTGCTTGCAGCTATATTTAGGGGCCAAGCCCAAAGGGCTGTAGCCCCTATTGTATCTGTATGTGTTCTTTATTATTATTATTATTATTATTCTCGTCCAATGGGAGTCTATGGCAGCCCTATGAAGGCAACATAGGAAAATTATGAAATTTGGCACACTTGTAGTGATGGCCATGAATAGTAAACTGACCAACATTGGGGTCTCTAGAACCAACTCTATAGCGCAACCACCAGTTCAAAAATTCAACATTAAAATGGTAATAACTCTTCAACCCCTCATTCTAGAAAAATGAAACTTAGTACACCTGATTCCACTCATCATGCTGATTACATTCAATACCTTACATTGAGACTCCGCCCATTACAGTAGCAGCCATTTTGAAAAGTACAGTAAATAGTCTATTCCCTACTACTCCTTCAAAATTTATCCAATTCTTCCCAAAATTTGCTCAGATGATCTTTGGACTGAGCTGCACAGAAATTACTTAACAGAATTTTTTGAATACCTGTGAAAAAAAAAGTTATGATGCTGTGAACTTAACAAGGTTGACCTGTGATTAGTTCAGAGGCTGTATCTCGGCCAAACTTTGATCAATCAAAACGAAACTTGGTAAACTTGGTTACCACCATCCTCTGAGGGCCCATGCCAAAGTTGGGAACAGCGCCACCTATGGATCGTGAGATACCAAAAATTCACATTTTCACTTATAACTTTTGAACAATTAGTCAGAAAATTATGATCTTGGTGTCATTGGATTTCTTGTGTCATGCCGAATCTGTGGATGTTAATTTTGCCAGGATCGACTCAACCACCTGTCCGCCATTTTGAAATTTGACATACATTGCTCTATCTTTTGAACCATTGGAGATATCTCCACGAAAATTGGTAAGGATCATCATCACCATGTCCTGGAGGTATCTCAAAAGTCTGAAGACAGCGCCACCTACTGTTCCAGAGATATAACGATTCTTGCAAAATGTTGTCCAAATTTTGTTATTTTTATGTCATTTGGTTCCCTGGGTTATGCCGATTCTGACGATGTCTCATTTGTCATTTTCCAAAAAGGTGTCTGTCAGCCATATTGAAGTAAATGAAAAACAGTTTTTTTGTTACTCTTCTCACAAATGTTGTTAAATTCTTCCCAATATTTGCTCATTTGATCTTTGGACTGAGCTGCACAGAAATGACTGAACAGAATTTTTTAACTACTAGTGAAAAAAAGTTATGATGTTGTGAACTTAACAAGGTCGACCCAAATTGGTTCAGAGGTTGTATCTCGGCCAAACTTTGATCAATCGAAACCAAACTTGGTATGCTTCATCAACAACAAGATCTGAGGGTCCTTGCCAAAGTTGGGAACAGCGCCAACTATGGGTCGTGAGATACTAAAAATGCACATTTTGGCTTATAACTTTTGAACAGTTAGTCAGACAATCATGATCATGGTGTCTATGGATTCCTTGAGTCATGCCGAATCTGTGCATATGAAATGTGCCAGGATTGGCTGAACCATGTGTCCGCCATTTTAAAGTTTGACATAAATGCACAAAAATCGGTAGGGATCATTAACACCATGTCCCAGAAGTACCTCACAATTTGCAGACAGCGCCACCTAGTGTTCCAGAGACATTATGATACTTGCAAAAACACCTATAACTTTTGAAAACGTTGTCCAAATTATCTTGTTTTAATATAATTTCATTCCCTGGGTTATGCCGATTCTGACGATGTCTCATTTATCATTTTCCATGAATGTGCCTGTCAGCCATATTGAAGTAAATGTAAAACTGTATTTTCGCTACTCCTCATTCAAATTTTGCCCAATTTTGTCCCAAATCTGAACGTATGATCTTTGGACCGAGCCGCAAAGAAATGACTGAACAGATTTTTGATATTCACTACCGTTCCCGAGAAATACCTCTACAAAGTAGACTGTGCCTGTGTTTTTTTAATTATGCTAGTAAGCTTAGCGTGCTAATAAGTTACAGACTAACCAGTTACCATACTGTTTAATGTGACTCTTCAGCTATCAAGAAAACCATAAGCTGCGTTACAATTTACTTAACTTTGCATGTTACGCTGCTTAGAATGCTAAAGAACTTTTTTTTGTGAGATCATTCTCACATCTTAACCTTTCTTCTGCAGCCTGTTGCACATGCGTCAGTTGAGTGGTGCACTCTGCTAAGCCACTGACCCTGAACCCCTAAGGTTGTGGGTTTGAATTCAAGGTGGCTAATGTTGCTTCTGTTCCAGAAGTTGGATTTTCTGTGCATTTGCATTGAGTCAGAAATGTGTTTTGGTCATTCTCATCTGAGCTTCTGTTCGTTTTTGAACGTCTGTACTTCTGAAGCGATCTGTTGTTTTTAATGTATGTTCCATTTCTGCCGTTTTATCATAGGAAACCTTAACCTCTCTTCTGCAGCCTGTTGAATTTGTGCTGACTGAGTAGTGTACTCTGTTAAGCCACTAATCACGAACCTTTCAAGTCGTGGGTTTGAATCCAGGGTGGGTAATGTTTTTTCTGTTCCAGACATTGGTTTTTCCGTGTGTGTTTGTATTGAGTCAGAAATGTGGTTTTGGTCATTCTCATCTGAACTTCTTTTCGATTTTAGAACTTCTGTACTTCCGAACCCATCTGCTTTTTATGTACATTCTATTTATGCTGTTTTTGCCCTTCTTGCTCTGAACCGCACTTCATGAACATTCTTGGCTAGCATGCAAGTTAGTGCTTGCTCCTCTGTTTTGCTTTTTTATATTTAAACATATCTTCAACATTACGGTGACTGTATGCCCTATGTGACAATGTGATTAGAATTGTACTCTCACAGATGAGGTCACTAGTTTGATTCTGGTGTGGGGTGACATTATAATAGAATAGAACGTGTATAGTTTCTTCATCTGTTCAGCAATACAGGAACATCTGTGCGGCAATACAGCAAATGTTTTTATGATTTTTGTTAAATTGACAGTTTTAAACAAAGATACCAATGTGTATTGAGTGGGTCAGCTACTGCCATTATACACTTTAGCAAAGCATTTAATTTTTGCCTGTTCCATGTGGAGTATCACTGAAACAAAACAAAAAAAAATTTCAAAATTGCTTTTAGTTGAACTTTCAATTTCACACAAGAAACTCAAGTGGGATAACCATTGAAGTTATACAGAACGTTTTAATTCTGTGTACACTAAATGTAATATTTTTAAAAAATGTCCCCCAAATTCCATGTTTAACGGTACAAGCAATAAATAAACTGAATGCAAAAGATAAAGATGTACATTTTGTATGTTAAGAGAATTACTTTTAAATTAGTTTTGCCCGTTATCATGTATCCTCTATGTGACACCGTGTGATAAGAATTGTACTCTCACAGATGAGGTCCATTTTTTTTTTTTTTAAGAAAATTATTGTGTTGGGAACCAAACTAACATACTACACAATTTCTAATGTAGATCAATTCAACATAAAATACATTGGTAGAGTAAATGGAAGTGCATGGCAGCAAGGACAAAAGAACATTTGAATCCATCATGTATTTATTTATTTTTTTATTTTTTTTACAAAGACTTTACACAGTTTACATTGAAAATATTGTGCCTTTATACCCCAGTGAGCAAGCCAGAAGGCGACAGCGGCAAGGAAAAACTCCCTAAATTAGGAAAGAGGAGCATCATGGGCAGAGTGCTAGAGCATCATCAGCAGAGTGGTATAGGGAGAAACCTTGGGAGGAACCAGACTCAGCAGGGGAAGGCCATCCTCCTTTGGCTGGCACCAAATAAATTTACTGTACATAGGCTAAATATAATACAAGCCATCCATCCAATATTTTATATATAATTGTGTTACTTTTGTGATTATGAATTCATTTGTGAAATAACTGACTATTCACTGCCTGCATCAGTTTAGAGTTTTGTTGGGACATTTTCTGAATTGATAGTTGACAATGGTTGTCTTCACTGTAAAAAAAGAGAATCAGAAAATCAATAAACTAAAGTCATCAAAGCATATCAAGTTTGAAAAATTAAGCTGACTATTACATTTACCTGTTTATCACGTGTGCTTCTTTATAAAAACAGTTCATGGAACAGAGATTCATATAATGGATAAGGAGGAAGTTAGAAGTGTAGCTCATTGCAGAAATCTGAAAATACATTCATGGAACATTGACTGCTTCATAAAGTGTTTATACAACAAAAACATTTGGCAACTAATGTAGACACCATCTCTACACTCACCTTTTGATAGTAGTGGACAGTAGTTATGGAGTTCGGCTGCACATAACTGAAAGAATATTGTTCTTGCTTTAACTTATCTTTGAGCAGTAATCTAAGCTTTGCAGACATTATACAATTAAATTTACCTTTTTATCTGTTGTTTGCTTCTTTATAAAAATAGTTAATGGAGCACAGAATTACATATTGGATAAGGAGGAAGTTCCAAGTATAGTGCATTGCAGAAATCTAAAAAAAATACATTAATAGAACATTAGGTGCTTGGTAAATGAAATGCTTACACAACAAATACATTTTGCAACTTATGTAGATACCATCTCTGCGCTCACCTTTTGACCGCAGTGGACAGTAGTTGTTGAGTTTTGATGCACAAACCTGAAAATCTATTGTTATTAGGTGAAACCGTGCTTGAAGAAATGAGTCAATTCAAGTATTGCAGACATTACACTACTACATTTACCTTTTTATCAGTTGTGTGCTTCTTTATAAAAATAATTCATGGAGCGGAGAATCATATAATGGATAAGGAGGAAGTTAGAAGTGTAGCTCATTGCAAAAATCTGAAAATACATTCATGGAATATTAACTGCTTGATAAAGTGTTTACACAACAAAAATATTTTGCAACTAATGTAGACACCATCTCTACACTCACCTTTTGAGAGTAGTGGACAGTAGTGATTGCATTTTCAGGTTTATACATCAAACCTCATTGTTATCAGGGTGAAACAGCGCTTTAAGAAATAAATAAATTGAAGTTTTGCAGACATTACACTACTACATTTACCTTTTTATCAGTTGTTTTCCTCATTATAGGAGTTATTAGAGTATAGAAAGACGTTTGGATGGAGTATAGAATCTCTTGTATGGGGGAAATTATGACTTCAGTGCATTTCATATGTCTGAAAAGATTACTTGCATGTGGTTACTTGCATATAGCTGATCAATTTAACAATGCCTTTAAAATGATTTATTTGATTTCAAACAGTAAATGTTTATATAACTAGGCACACCTTAGTAAACTTACCTTTGTAGATTTTAGTAAATCTGGACCATTTTTTGGTTGTTCTATTAACTTGTGATATTAGGAGACAACTGGATGGGTGCAGTCAGTCTTTTTGGATGCTTCCTACGATGTTGGGAAACATCCAGTATTGTTTGGATGGCTTAGGATATGACTGAAATTAGATTAATAACAAAATACTTTAGTAAATGTAATATACTTGATGCAAGTTAAAAACTAGAAAAATATCTTAAAAGGAAAATTTAACTGAATTAAAATTAATCTAAGCATATAAAGCTGAATACAAATTAAATACAACAGTTACCTTGGCTGGATAAAACTTATTAGCTCAAGAAAGAAGAGCAATTATGGGAGATGTAGGATTGTGAATGACGATCACTGGTTTGAATTTGAGGCTGGATTGACCGGATTCTGTGAATCTTGGAACCTCAGGATAGTGTTCACATGGTATGGACACAAAAACAGAACAGACAATACAGTGATACAATTTTCTCATTTCAGTGTGTTGCACAAATAAAACCGATTTGCCTTCAGATAGACCTTCATTGATAACATGGAACATCTGTATAGATTCAACTGATGGATCATTATAGGAGTCATTCAGATATAGATAGTCTAAGAACATACCGTCTCAAGTTATACACTTGTTCTCCAGTTGTATGCCCATTGGAATCTCAGAATGAACATTGCACAGTAAGGGTAACGAAAAGAAAAGAGAATGCAGTTATAATGATATCAGTATATGTCACAATCATTCCCTCAGCCTGCCTGCCTGTATTAGTACTGCCTGATGGTAACTGTAATAGGTTTGCACGATTTCGACTGAAACGTTTTCTGCATCTTTAACATAGACATGGTCTATCAGCGTTCCTTTCTCAGTTGTAGGATGTTGCACATGTTGACTGTATCCATGTAATTCCATTAATGTTCCAATTGTAGATGATGTCAAGATGTCCTCATTGAAGTCTCCTAAAATTACGTTCTTTCCTTCATATTTCTCCAGCTCATCAATAACATGCAACATATTTTGTCGAAACATGTCAAGTGGATATGAATTAGGCCTGTACAGCAAAGCAGCATTCAAACTTATATGTGGAACTGCAAAGTATAGACATTCCAAGTTGCAAGGTTCTGGAATGATGACGTTAAAATGAATGCCTTCACAACAGAATATGCCAACTCCACCACCTCTTTGTCGTTTTAAATCAGTGAAAAGTGAAGTGCTCTCGTCATAACACTTAGCTCTCGGATTGTTCTTAAAAACAAATCCTGGTATCTGCACATCGTCTTCAACCTGTAGCCAAGTTTCAGTTAAACAGATACAATCCGCATTCATTAGCGGTCCGTGAACTTGAATATCTTGAACATGAGCTCGAAGACATTGTACATTATGAAGAGCAATTGTAAACATACCAGGTGTCTTTATGACACTGTGATTTTCTAAAGTAAGTCGGAGCATGTTTTCCATAGCGGAGTCGATTTTCTCATTACAATATATGGCAGACTCTTTGAAGTTATTAATTATTAGTCCATCGAGGGTTCTCACACGACTCAGTGCAACATACGCTTGTCCCGGACAAAATACCTTGTCAAGTGAGACGACCGCTTTGTCTACTGTGAGTCCTTGCACTTTGTGAACGGTGCATGCCCATGCCAATTTAAGTGGAAACTGACGTCTTAAACCACCATCGTTTGTGACTTGATCTTCTTCCACTTCAATAACAGTAGAATTTGGGGAATATTTCTGTCGTTGCTTCGATCTCTGAATTTGACCAACATTTGGATTATCAAATTCAACATGAACAGCTGCTGGAAAGTCATCATCATCATCATCACATTTTTGTTTTTTGCTTATGTGGACAACTGTGCCGAAGGCTCCATTGACAAGTCCATCAGAAACATCCAGATTTTTCTTTAGCATTACTCTCGCTCCAACACCCAAGGAAACACATTTGTCCAAACAGGAGTTGAAAACTTTTGCATGAAATCCAGCTTTAGCTTCTATTCTTCCAGTTTCTGGATTTCTCACAAAATCTCTAGCTCGAATAGTGATTGCCTCAGGACAAAGCTCATTGAGTTTCTGAATGTTGTATTCATCAACCTGAGCATTTGTAGGAAATATATGAATAGCATCACATTCTTCACCTGTTTCACATTGCTTCAACATGTTAATGTCGCTTGGGCTTAGAGTTTCCTTCTTTTTATCAACTCGAAGACGATTTAACATTCC